TCCTAATATGTTCAAAAACAAATTTTATCAAAAACCGTTAAGAATTTTAATATTTTTTTAAATATGATAATATTAGCAAGAGTACATATTCCTTTTTATAATTTCAATTTATGCTAGTACAACAAAATTTTTATGTTGATACAATTAAGAGGATGTTAAGAAAATTATAGCGTTTAATTATATGAATTTGTTTTTCTAAAAGGAAAACTAATATCTTCTATAAACATAATTGTTGTGCACTATGTGAAGAATTTTTTTTTTTTTTGACTGAAAATGCGAAGAATATTAATACCATAAAAAATATCCATATTTTATTTTTAAAAAACTATATGCAATCAAATTGTACAAATATAAAGGAAAAATAATACTTTTTTCTTTTTTTATCTATCTCCTAAATAAAATATTTAAAATTATAACCAAATAAAATCAAAATATTTAAAAAATAAAATATAAAAAATTTCAAATATCTCGTTATATATATATATATAGATTAAAAAATAAATTTACAAAAAAGATAAAACTTAAAATTTTGAAATTCTTAATTATCTATATGTATTTATTTAAAAAATTTCCAAATATTCTCTTATATATATTATATATAGATTAAAGAAATAAATTTAAAAAAAAGATGAAACCGTAAATTTTTGAAATTAAATTCTTAATTATCTATATGTATTTATTTAAAAAATAATTTTTATAAATTATATCTAATTAACTAAATAAAGTGTAATTTTCTAATTGGCTATGACTAAGGATATTTTAGGATATTACAAATTTCATTAATTGGTTATGGTTATATGGATTGTTTGTAGTTTAATTATAACACTAACATTATTTTTCTTATTTTTGCACAAAGAAATGTTGACATCGCTAATACCGGAATAAATTCATTAACGAACCAATCTTGGATTCTAGTATGATTTGCTTTGTAATTTCTATTTATTGACTTGGCTTTAATCTTTTTTTTTTCTTTGTCCATCAATATTTAATTTCATTAAATTATAGTCTTTCTAGTTGAAAAAGAGGTTGATTTTTGAAATTTAAATTGGTAATTTTTTTGATATAATTTGTTTCTTATTATATGTTGAGTTCTAAAAAGAGTTTTATTCTTATTATTAATTTTTTATTTTTTCTTTTTCGTTACTGAATTAACTTTTAACTACTATCACTTTAATTTAGTAAGAGATTTATATATCCCTTAATGATTAAGTATTTTTTATTTTTTTAATATTTTTTCTTATATTTTAAATTTATTTGACTTGAAGAAAGAAAATAGTTTTTTGTATTAAACTGAAAAAACGAATTACTTATATTTAGTTTTGAAAACTTTTGAGTTTCCAAGAATTTGGTATATATAGGATAGATTCTTTTCTAATGATTGGTGGAGATTGGAAGTAATTGAACTTGATGGTTCATTTTGGTAATATTAAGGTTTTAAAAAATTTACATATAAATTAAGACCTAAGATTAGATTTAGGATGAGGTGTGAATTTATTTTGAAAAAACTTTCATTATATAAAATAAAGTGAAGTATAGATATATATTATAAGTAATTATGTACTATACACAAGGCAAACTGAAAATCATAATAACTTTAAACGATTGTATTTATTTTATCAAAAAAAAACCCTTATTTATTTTAATCTAAATAAAAACTTATGTTTTAATATTATACAGATAAAAAATTAAAAGAGTGTAAAAAAATGAGTATATAATGAGCATAATCAACGTCATAAAAAACTAATTAATACAAAAGTTTGAAATTGAAGTATCTAGAGAATTAAAGTTATTTTAGAGTATATTTGTTACAACCCCTAAAGTTAAAGTTATTTTCCAAATTGCTACTGGTCAAGGGGTTGAAAGTAAGAAGCTTGTATAGTTGCTTTAACAGTGTTTATGTTTTAATTCTGTTTTATTCACTATTTTTTTTTTTATATCTGTCATTTAAGGTTTTCACACAGAAATTAAGAAAAATAATAAATATACTAAATTTTAATAAAAATAGAGGTGAAAAGGACTATACTGCCTTGGGAAAGATAGTAATTTACATGATTTAAATAAATTTAAGATTGAGTTTAAGTTTAACATGAACTATTTATATTACTAGTGATAGAAGAGTAATTCGGGAAAAAAATATTCAATGAAATTTTGAAATCGTAAAACATCACTTATTTAGAAATAAAATAAATATTTTGAATTTTAATTTTTTGATAAAAATCTTTTCAACATTCTTTTTTTTATGCTAAATTGCATGCCTTTCTTGTTAACTAGTCTTTTTATGACGTGAATTGCACGTTAATTATATTTGTTATTCGTACTCATTCAATTTTTTATGTCATTGCTCATTTTTATTTATTATTTATACTCATTTTATTTTTTAATATTTAATATTGATTATAATTTTTGTCTTATATTATTTAGATTTTTATAAAGTTAAAACAAAATTTCATATGAAACTAATGTGATTATAACGGTTAATTAATAAAATGGTAGTGTATATATACACAAATTTCAGTTTAATTTATGTCCGTTATTTATCTAAAATTCAATATAATTGCATACATATAATTCTATAATATCACCTAATAAATACATTTCAATATATATAAATATACAGTAAAATAATAAAAATATAAGGTGCTATATTATTATTTTAAAATTTAAAAATTTTAACTGTTCTGCATCATATTAGTAGTATATACTATATGTACTGGTATTTATATATGATATGAACTATATATATACTATATATATATATATATATTATATATAGTATATATATATATATATTATATACCTATATAGTAATATATATAATTTCATTTATTTAAATGAAGTTTTAAAGTAAGAAATTTAACAAGATTTGAAAAGCCTTAATTATATATGATGTGATTTGGAAATCCGTATTTTTTAAGAAAGAATATATATCCCTAAAAAATTATAAAAACATAAAAAAAAAAGAATATTATAAGAAAAAATATCTTTTGTCCTTTATTTTATCTCCTCATAAATAAAATATTTTAAATTTTAATAACAAAATAATCCAAATATTTTAAATGAATTTGAAAATAAAATCATAAATAAAATATTTTAAATTATAATAACAAATAATCAAATATTTTAAAAATGAATTTGAAAAATAAAATATAAAAATTTTCAAATGTCTCATTATCATATATGTTTATATGTATTTATTTAAAAAATAATTTTAATAAATTATATCCAGTTAACTAATAAAATATAATTTTCTAATTGATCATAATTAAAGTTGTTTTACGATATTCAAATTTCATTAAGGACGCTATCGAAATTTTCATTATTCCTCTTTATTTCCATATTTATGTATAGTATAAATAATGATATAAAATTTTCTTAATTCTATTTCTCTCTCTCTCTTTTTCCTGTTTTGCTTAAAGTAGGTGTGAATATGAGTGTAAAAGAGCCAAGCCGGCTTGCAAATTGTTCTAGTGTTGGCTTGAAAAAAATTTTGAAAAAATTCGGATCAAATCAATCTCGAACTCAAGCTTGACCTTGCTCGTTTAGCAAATGAGCCGAACTCGAGTCTAATGATATTCAGTTTAAAAGTTCGTCGAATCTTATCAACTCTTACACACACAAACACACACACACACTTATTTGAGTCTTGAGCCATGAGTTAATCAACTTTCCAACATCCTATTTACCGATAAACACTTGATTTCACATTTTAAAAAGTTGGACTATCCATTTGTAAATATTCTTCATTTAGACACGAAAATAGTAAAAGTTGAAAAGTTTATCCACCAAATTTATCATTATCTCCAAATGGCTAAACCATTCCAAAAATTCCAAATTTTACTAGTGTAAAAATTGCATCCTAAATTGAACTAAATTGTAAAAATCTCAATTTGTGCCAAAAGTATCAAATTGATATACCCAAGGATTTAGGTTTAATTTATTACGATGGCTAAATCATTAAAAATATCCGAAACCTTGCGGCTAGTTTTAATTGTACCCTAAAATTCAACTTTCTTCTCCTATTAATATGAATTTCAATTTTAGTTACAATAGCATCTTAATTTCAAATTGTATCCAATTTAATGAAAAAAAAATGTTATTTTTGTCGTACGTACACTATCTTTTATGGTCAAGTTAACTAAAATTCACTATTTAACGACACCCCCAACTAATATTGGTTTGAAATTTAAATTCATAAAAAGCTAAGTAAAATAATAATTTTAAGTTAGTTATAATTGCCATTTTTAAGCATGTAATTTTGTTTATACTCAGGTCGAATTTCTTATAAAAATAAAATTTACTCATTATGATGTCATTTTATTTTTAGAGAATAATTAATTGTTGTCAATTTATAGAAATAAATAAAAGTATTTTTATTTTTAAGATAAATAGATTATTTTTTATTTTAATATTTATATAAAAACATATAAATATATTATTTATTTGTTTATAAGTGGTGGTGGGGAAGAGGTCTAATTTGTAGGAAAAGGTTAAAATGGATCCCATAAAAATAATACTTTATTTATTAAATTGGGTGTAATTTTAAAATTAAGATGCTACTGCAACTAAAATTAAAATTTAAGACATTAAGAGAAGAAAATTAGATTTAAATTACAATTAAAACTACCCGCTTTTTAATGTTTTAGCGTATTACAATGCCTAAAGTTTTAGGTTTTTGGTACGGCTTTAGCCCCTGCAAAAGAATAGGCAAATTTGAAAACATAATTGGGCTCAATGTGCTCTAATCATTACTGGGCTTTATAAACTCAATTCGGCCTTCATCGTAGGCTCATTTCACATGTTTCAACCCTATCGTATCGATCCAGCTTCCAAACTCTTCCCTTAAAGGCCTGAACGGGAACAAATTTTAGACCATCCGATTCAGACACTCCCACGAAATCTTACCGTTGGATATATTTCAAGCGAGCGGGTCTCAAAATTCAAATCTCATTCAAGCCCGCTCTCATTTTCACATCTCACTATAGCCAGGGGGAACCAAAGAAAGAGAGAGAGGGAGGGAGGGAGGGAGAGAGAGAGAGACACATTTTAACTTGAAAAGGTTTGGATCTAATAGTATAGGCTCGTGCGATTCTCTCTCTAACCTTAGATCCGAAAGGATGTCTGCTCGCCATGAGAAAGAGAAAGGCGTTAATGTCCAGGTCCTTCTTCGTTGCAGGTATGGTTTCGTTTTATGTTTGAAAAGTTTGTCTTATGAATTGGCCATTTCATTTCAATCTAACTTCTGTTTGTTCATATTTGAAAATTTTGGATTAATTGAAAGTTAATTATTTATGAATTTTTAAACGATAATTAATCAGGCCGTTCAGCGACGAGGAGTTAAGAAACAATGCGCCTCAGGTTGTTACTTGCAATGATTACCAAAGAGAGGTTGCAGTTTCGCAGAGTATTGCTGGGAAGCATATAGATAGGGTTTTTACTTTCGACAAGGTTACTTTTTCTTATTCAAGTTCAGAAAAGCTTCAGTTTGTCTGTTTTGCTGTTTTTGATTGTTGTGAGCTGATGCTTGGTTGATTTTAGTTTGGTGTTTATATGGTTCCATTTTGTATGTGGGTTCATTGAGTTTGTTGATATTTTGATGCTATTGATTTTCTATTTGTATAAGAAAATGGTAATGCAAAACTATAATTATAACTGGGAATTAGCTGGTTCAGTTGTTGATGAGAAGAAACCCAAGAAACAAATGCCTTTTTCAATTTCTGCATCCGTTTAGGATGTAAAATGGATTAGAATTTGCTTGTATATTGTGTCTGTAGGAGGTCCATGCAGAATTTTAAGTAAATGGGTTCAAAAGTGAATCAGCTAAATATTGCCATATTGAAAATTATGAACTTTTAGGTTCGTTCTAGTGTCCTAAGGACATCGTGGCAACTGGAGCTCTTCCATCTCAGTATTTATGCGAGGGTTAAGGATTTTGGTTGCTTCTATCCAATTTACTTTTGATATTTTTTCTGGGATGTTCTGAATGCTAATGTATTCAACAGGTCTGAATGGTCATTACTGTCTTGCGACTCTTGAGACTCTGATTATGTGTTCTGTAAAAATCTGAATTTTCAGATTGAATTTTACATGTGGAAACAAATGCTCTATACTTGTTAATGATTCGTGTTCCACACTAACTTCAGTAAATTCACATGGTCATATTTCATTGATTACCTTTCTATTGGGGTGTTCTAAGTGACTTTTATTAGTTTTTATTGGAATTTAGAAAAACAATTACAATATTTAATAGGTGGCATAGATTTTGGCTTATTGTGCATGTAGGTGTTTGGCCCTTCTGCTCAGCAGAAAGATCTTTATGAACAAGCTGTGGTGCCAATTGTGAATGAAGTTCTAGAAGGTTTCAATTGTACCATTTTTGCATATGGTCAAACTGGTACAGGTAAAACATACACAATGGAAGGGGAATGCAAAAGATCAAAGGTATAGCATACCGTTATTATTTGTTTGATGGTTATATCTTTAGTGGTGGTCACATTGTTGATTTGTTAATGCGGTAAAACTGTTGCACAGAGTGGGCCTAATGGAGAATTGCCTCCAGAAGCAGGGGTCATACCCAGAGCTGTTAAGCAAATTTTTGATACACTTGAAAGCCAGAACGCGGAGTATAGTGTGAAGGTTACTTTCTTAGAATTGTACAATGAGGAGATCACTGATTTGCTTGCCCCAGATGAAATTTCTAAGGCTGTTTTGGAGGAGAAGCAAAAGAAGCAGCTGCCCCTAATGGAGGATGGGAAAGGTGGAGTTCTTGTTAGAGGTCTAGAGGAGGAAATTGTAACAAGTGCCAGTGAGATATTTACTCTTCTTGAAAGGGGTTCAGCGAAACGTCGTACTGCTGAAACTTTGTTAAACAAGCAGTCAAGGTAATCGTTATCTTGCAGTTCTTTATGCTGAAGGCCAAAGTTAGCGTATGGTTCTTGTAATAAAATCATGTTTTCTATTTTAGTCGGTCGCATTCTCTTTTTTCCATTACAATACATATCAAGGAAGCAACTCCTGAAGGTGAAGAACTAATCAAATGTGGCAAGTTGAATTTGGTTGATTTAGCTGGTTCAGAAAATATCTCTCGTTCTGGTGCTCGGGAGGTATATTTTACTGTTCTAACGCTAGCTTACTATAATACATTTAATGGAAACTTCTAAAATCATGCTTGTTATTGAATAGGGCCGTGCAAGAGAAGCTGGTGAAATCAACAAAAGTTTACTGACTTTGGGCCGTGTCATTAATGCTCTAGTTGAGCATCTTGGGCATATCCCATACAGGTTTAAACTGCTTTCCTTAGTTATTCTTCCATAGCCTGTAATTAATGTTCTTCAAACTTCTATTTACACACTTGCATTGATTCAGGGATAGCAAGCTCACTAGGTTACTTCGTGATTCACTTGGAGGAAGAACGAAAACATGCATTATCGCAACAGTTTCACCGGCTGTTCATTGTTTAGAGGAGACCTTGAGTACACTGGATTATGCCCACAGGGCCAAGAATATAAAGAATAAGCCTGAGGTTTGTTTGTACTATTTTTAATTTCTTTATTAAAGTCAAACATTTACCACTCTGTTCCTTTAAGCCATTTATGTGCTATTAATGAATATATTACACTCCTCTTATCAAGAAAGAGAGAATTGTATTATAAATTTATTAATAAATAATCCATTAATTATTTGATTTCTATTCCATCAAAATAATATTAATTGCTATTATTAAGTAGAACAAATTTATATTTCCTTTTACTCGTGTAGAAATAGCAGTTGAAAATCTTTAGAGTTGATTAATTTCAACATATATGTCTATTTCCCGCCTCAGTACCTTCGATGAATAACTAATTGATCGCGTTCCGTACGCTTTCGGAAAGGGCAATTCAGCAATCAAGGAAAGTGAGTTTGCCAGGATTCGAAATAGCTATCAGTTGGTGCACTACAAATTTAAAAGGACATTCATACATGTGTGACCCCCAAAATTAAATGTCTAGCTCCACCAAATTAAAAGGAAATTCATGATCTAATCTAACCTTCCTATTAGATGGAAATAATATACTGGTAGCTCATTATCTAAATGGTCTTTTTTTTATTTTTTATTTTTTATTTTTATCAAAGATTGACCCGCGACACATTACATGAAAATTTAGAAACCATATTTGATCGAAATGAAAGGTAGAGGGAGAGAGGCATTTTCTGGATTGCCATAATCTTTTTTACATTGGTACCCAGGAGGACTTTTACTATCATTCTTTGTTTTATTTGCAAATTTATTTTTGTTTTCATATTCAAGTAATGTATAGCTTCACATTATCAAATTATTCTGAGTGAGTGCTCTGCAATGGATTTGTCTCTTCTTTAAATTTCTGCTCTAGAAAATGTGCTAAGAGCTCAACTTGCATTGCAATTTGTATATTTAGATTATGTTTGGTAAACCGTCATGGAAAGCAATATAATATATCTTAAATTTATTTGATCACAAATGTAATTACATTAGAAATAAATTTGATTATAGTACATTATGGTTTACGTAACCGACCTTACCAATTAATATCAATGCATATCTGCGATTTTCCTCTTCAAAATATGGTGAGGATTATGCTTCTTTTTTCTGTATTCTAAACCACTTTGCTACTAAAATTGAATGCTGTATCTATATCCTATAGTGTGCTTGCTGTACTCCACTATTTGTTACAGATTTGAACATTGTCCTATGGTTTGTAGTCCCTTGAGGAATTCAAGCATTTGTCATGTTTATTTGTAGGTTAATCAAAAAATGATGAAATCAACACTTATCAAGGACCTTTATGGAGAGATTGACAGGCTTAAGGCAGGTGAGATACTATCATATTTGCAGATACTTTCATATCAGCAGGCTTAATGCATGTTAATCACTTTGATATGTATGTTGTGCATGTGTTAGTTCACTTTTTAAGAATGTTTCCATTTTGCACAGAGGTGTATGCTGCACGGGAAAAAAATGGGGTTTACATCCCAAAGGAGCGATACTATCAGGAGGAGAGTGAAAGAAAGGTATACCACCAGTTCTTTTGTTGGTTTTATTTATGTTTCTCCTTAGTCGTTCTGTGACACGATAATTTGGTCATTGTATTTAAGGATTTATTTGTGTAGTTACTCTTTCATAGCTTAATTGAAAGAAAATGACTTCTTTTTCTTAGCTTTAGTCCTCAAATCCAGACCGGATACAAATAAATCATTATGGACACTTTCATCTATTATTCTGTTAGATTTACACAATAAAAATTGTCACTTTTTAACTTGGTTCTGCTCATGTGTTTTTCTGTTGTGCATAGGCGATGGCAGATCAGATAGAGCAAATGGGAGTCACGATTGAAACCCATCTGAAGGTTAGTACTCACAACACCACTGCCTGAAAATGAGAGAACCTGTTTTGTATTTTTCTTGATATTTATGGTGCATTTGAAACAGCAACTTGAGGAGTTGCAAGAAAAATATAATGCGCAGGTTCAACAATGTTGTGATTTGAGCAGAAAACTTGATGTCACTGAGGTAACTTGTTTTCCTCCAATTTTTTTTGAGTGGTTATTATCTATGAATAAAATCGCAGTGACACAGGCAAATTGTGCAGAAAAACTTGAATCAAACCAGCAAGTTGCTCACCCATACTGAGGAAGAATTGAAGAAGTGTCATTATGCTTTGAAGGAGAGGGATTTTATCATATCCGAGCATAAAAAAGCAGGTATCCTTGATTATCATTTGTTTGATCTTCATGGTTTTCTTTTGGTTGTGTATTTATTGGAGCTTTTGAATTTTTGACACAGAGAATGCTCTGGCTCATCAAGCATGTGTTTTACAATCTGATCTGGAAAAAGCTCTTCAAGATAATGCTTCTTTGTTCCAAAAAATTGGTATGCTGTTTCTAGCTTAATTATTAATCCAGATTTTTGTAGATATTTCATTGAAAATTAGCTATTATCTAATGCAATTGTATATAGGAAGAGAAGATAAGCTGAATGCTGATAATAGAGCAGTCGTGAGCAATTTCCAAGTTGAGCTCTCCCAGCAAATTGGTTCTCTTCAGAAAATGGTGGCTTCATCGATGTTGAAGCAAGACGAACATCTAAAGTGTGTTCAGAAACTTTGTCATTCTTTCCTTAACACACATGATAAGGTATTAAAAAGAGCTATAAATACCATTTTCCAAATTGTTGTCATTTTTAGCCATTTCATTTTACTTTGAATGGCATCCTTGTTATGGTAGTTTTAGTTTTGTTTTCAAGTAAGGTTTATTTACTCTATGCCATCCAATATTTCCTTCTAGGCGGTCAAGGATTTGAAGAAGAAATTAAAAACTTCAAAAGCGTTGTATGTTTCCCACATGGAAGCAGTGCAAAATGTTGTGCGGTTGCACAAAGCTACCTCTATTGCTGGCTTAGAGGAAATTTCATCTTCAATTTCTTCTAATGCACAATCTATTGAAGAAGTAGGTGCAAATATCTTTCTTATTTATGTCCACTTAGTTATTTCCTCAATGTCTCTGCTTAATGTTCATTTTTTGAATCAGTATCTCGCATCAGAGTCTGGTCAGGCTGCATCAATATTTGATGATCTTTGGAGTACTCTTTCAACCCATGGGAATGAAATTGCTTTTTTTGCTGGTGAACTGCGGCAGGTTTGATCCCTAGCTTTCTCTGTTGCATACTTGCTTAGTGTTGGGCTTGTTGAGAAAAGTTTATCTTATTAAATTTTTTACTTGTTTAACCTTGCACGTACCTTTACATATATTTCCTACTTTCTCTTGAAATATTTTGCCGAAGAAATTTATCTGTAACTGAGTTTTCACACTTTCTTTGATGAAGAAGTTGTAAGCTTGCTTACTCTTGTACAAATTGTTTATTCTTCTTGTTTTGCCAATTCAGCATTTTTTCATTTGTTGTTTCTAAGTTAATTTCTTGTTCTTTCTAATTGTTTGTTATTTTTTTGCTTGGATTTTAAATGACTTGGAATTCAACAGAAATTCCAAGTTAGCAGCGAGCAAAGAAAAGAGGTATCTGACTACATGAATGGATTTCTACACAAGCTTTTGGAACAATCTCAAGGGCTTCAGAATTGTGCAGCACAAGCTAATGAGATTCAACTGAAGAGCCTAAATGATTTTCAGAAGGCTTATGAAGTATGCTGAACATAAAGTCACAACTGATGTGTAAATACATGCTCCATTCAAATGTTGCTGACTTGAAAATTTTTCCCATGCAGGAGCAGTCAAAATCTGATGCTGAGAAGCTTGTTGCTGATATAAGCAATCTGGTTTCCAACCACATTCTGCGTCAAAAAGAGCTGGTTTGTTTTTTTTTTTTCTGCCTTCTATTTTCCCATTCAATCTACTATGAAGATGGGCTGAAAGTTGTGCCAATAGGTGGATGCAAGGTTTAATGATCTAAGAGAAGCTTCAATTGGAAACAAGGGGATTTTGGATGAACATATCTCCTCAATTGAGGGTATTACAAGAGATGCAAAACGAAAATGGGAGGAATCTTCTGTTCAAGCAGAGAGAGATGCTAATGATTCTGCAGATTTCTTTGCCGCCAAACATTGTCGTATGGAGCAGCTCTTGGACCAATGGTAAGCTGGGCCTTACGTTTGGTTCTGGTTTGAATCAATAACTTTAATGGAACTGTGCTTTTGTGGATGAGAATGCTAGGATTTTGAGCAAGACATGAGAGGGATTGAAAATAAATACAGTTCTTCTAAAACAAGGAACTAAGGATATATATGTAGTTTCTATTTTGAAATTATTTTATGCCAAAGGCTTATTCTTATTTTTTATTTGACTTTTTGGTTGCCTTTTTCTTCTATGTAGTGTAAGCACTGCTGAATCAGCTTTCAAGCACTGGAAAATTACTCATGAGTCTGTGAATGATATAGGCCGTAAGCATGTTTCATCTTCGCTGTCACTTATCAGGTAGGAAATTGTATCCTTCTGTTTAGATGCGCAACCTTATTTGATTTCTCTTTTTCTGTCTTTTTCTTTTTTTTGGGTGTAGTGTTGCAAGATGATTAGTTTTGATATCTACTTTTTATAGAACTAGTCACTGGCTCACTGCTGCTTCTTTTGTAGAAGCAGCTTGGTGCAGGAGCATCTGCAGTTTAAGCAATTATAGTCAGTTTTCCTCCTGCAGTTGTTCAGACCACATTCAACCATATTCTTTCCCTAATTGTTAATACCTAATTGCTTTAAACCCTTCTGCTGCCACATCAAAGCTACTTTTTATCAGTTTAGCTTGGGGACTTGGATTTCTCTCTGGTCATAAACAGGAGAACAAAATAGTCTTAAGACTTATCTCATGATCCAGTGATTCAAAATTCATAGTCTCATTTTGTAGATTCATTTACCTTCTCTAATGGCATGCTCTCAAAATTGCTTTTGTACAGAAATGCTTCTGATAGTATAGAGCAGCATGATGTTGAGATTGGTTCTACAAGGATTGCAGCTGAGCAAGACGTGGCAAGGAATAGTGATGATTTCCTTCAGCATATTGACAGTGAGTCTTATTCTATCTCTCCTTTTTTCCTTGAAAGGGCATTCTGCTTATGTCTTGAGTTTACATTGATCCATATGTTACAATTGGTTGAGAAATAGTTTGTTGGATAATCTGTAGTTTCATTTCATATTTGTTTGATAATTCTAAGGAGATGGTGTTGCTTAATGATAATTCAATTACCAGTATGCTCAGGCACTGCCTAGATTAGCTTTTCAAATTAGTTTTCCTTCCGTTCATTCGGTGTAAAAAGAGAACCATGATTCTAGACAAGGAAAACATTAAGGATGCCTTTGTAACACAAATTTAATGTTCTCGATCCAGAAGTATGAAAACTTTTTTTATGAGGTTTGACTCGCTTGAGTTGGCTTTCTTTGTTTTTAAGTTTCAATAATTTGCAAGATTTCATATCAGTGTGTATTATAAAAGATCAACATTGTAGTTAATGTGTTTCTTTCCCCTTTATACAGAAAAAAAAAAACTATGGGAATTGACACGTTAAAACTTGCAAATTTCTACAGATGTTTCAGAACAAGAGCGCGGATCTGTATCTGGAATCTTGGATGCTGTCAAAGCTCATGCAGATACACTTGAGAGTTTCAGGGAGGATCATTCTAGCCAAGCTACAGCCATCGAGGGCAAATCACAGGAAACCTTCCAGCAGAATTATTCGGTAAGTTTAGTGTGAAACCTGTTATATATGTAATATCTTTTTCCTCTGAAACATGCGGAGATTTTAAATTTCTTGCTATGCTATTATGAAATTCTTAAATAAAATATTCTGTCTTGTGTTCAAATTTAATATGTTTAATGCCTATTTAAGGTTTCATGTTCATTTATACTATATCTTCTGGTAATGTGTAGGATTATGAGTCAACAGGCACAACACCGATGAGATGTGAGCTAGACATTCCAAGTAAGGGGACAATAGAGTCGCTTCGAGCAATGCCAATGGAAGCACTTCTTGAGGAATTCCGTGAAAATAATTCTTATGAATCATTTGAGGTAAAGGAATTGAAACCATCCTTAATACCTCGGTCGCCCCTTGTACAACTGAACTAGAAATTGGATGGCCATGTTTCATCCACTTAAAATTTGTATCTGTACCAATGGTGTAGATTGTTTTTATTTCCTTCTGGAAAATGTTAGGATGCAAGGGAAGGGTGATAGGTTTGTATTGTAATGGCTATAAACATTCTTGATAAATTAATCCCATCTTGGGATTTACTGATATTTTAGAAGCTCAGTGGGAGGATGTAAAGTGAGGCAGAGCTCCACACTTGGTTATTGTAAGTTTTATTTTTGGAATACTGGATATGTTAAAATCAAATTTCTTAGCTTTTTGTAGTGGCATAAACATTCTTGATTACCTGGGGGCAGAAAATGAAAATTTTGATTTTAATTTTGTTATGCTAGCATGTTTTTTCTACATTTATTGCTACAATAATTATTAAAGGCTGGTTTAACCATATATAATTTTTACATAATACTATTTTCATTCTGTAATATTTGTCGCATTTGAAAAAATAGTTTATTTTAAAATATTTATTATATTTATGATTTTAAGGAATAATAAATATTTTTTTTCTATGTTTATTTAAATTCTTATTTGGGCATTTATTGTATGAACTACTCACTAAAAACCCACGTCTACAGTAGACAAATTAAGGTAAATAAAATTAAAACACCTTCTGAGATTTGTCTTATTATACACGTTGGTTCTTGCTACAATAGAGGGATTAAATAAAAATTATTTTCTATTTTAATTTCTTCACACAGTGTGTCATTTTTTAAGGGAAGTAGTTGGAGTTGGTTTACCAATTGCTTTTAACTCTACCGATTTTGCGTCCACCGATCATTTGTGGAGCTAGGAAAATTATATCCAGAGAGCCAAACAAAAATTTTTAAACTTTTAAGGGATTAAATGTAATATTTTTTATTTTATTTTTAAGGATTAAAATATAATTTTTCTTAAAAATTTCTTTTTAAAAAAATTCCTTTGGGTGGCTAGGGCCCCTTGGGTCTCCAAGGAGCTCCGCCCTGTTGCAATGAAACATTATATAAATAAAAGGTGATTGTGGAATATCAAACCATAATTTCTACAATAAACAAATTTATCATTTTTTTCATATACAAATATAACTTATTATATTTTCATATTGTATACATTCTGTTAAGGTATATATTCAAAAGCAACTACTAATTTGTAAAATATTTATCAACTTGGTTTTTTAGGTATTGGGGAACGGATTCAAACCGTTGCCAAACTGGATATGCACTTACCACCACCACACTATGCTTCTGTGTGGGACATTTCAAATGTTAGATATTGGACATCTCAAATGTTAAGATATTGGAGTTAATTAACATGTAAGCATTTAGTTGGCACATGTATGTATGCTACAAATCCAAAAATCACTAATCTATTATCATGGATTACTGGACCACCAGCCCATTAGAAGATACAGCTCATTAGACACCAAGGAACTCTGTCTCTAGCCAGTGGGATATCAGTGTATGGTTTAGGATTTTAGTGGTTTTTTTTTTTTTTTTTTTTTTTTTAATTAACATGGTAAGCCACTTTAGCTTTCGGCACATGGCTAATGTATGCCTATAAAGCAAAATCCAAAAATCACTCAATCTACTTATCATTGGCATTACTGGACAGCGGGCGGGGAGCGCGCGGGCGCACTGTAGCAAGATCACAGCCTCATCGTAGACACCAGGAGACTCTGTCCTCTAGCCAGCTCGGGGGATACTCAGTGTATGGTTTTAGGATTTTAGTGGTTGTGGATGTCGTCTGGGTTGTGTTGTTTTTTTTCTGTTTTTTTTAGTTTTCAATCTATTTCTTCGATCGATACAACATAACTGCACATACAGATCATGTGGACAAATTGTTCGATTGATTGCATAGGTATCTTAAGTCATTCCTGATGCATGATCCCCATCTTAAGCACACCTCTCGACATCTTCACCATTTTAAACTTGCAATATATCAAGACTCTGGAATTTCTTTTCTCTTGGTTTTGTATTTAATCAACTCTTGACATGTAACTTTCTTAAAATGTGACTCTTTCTAACCACCCGTGCAATTTATGCAACAATAATGCCTTATTCAGACTGTCATTGGAATTTTTTCAATCATTAAGCGAGTCAGCGTTTTAGTGTTCGATATTATATCAATTCCCATTTAATTTTATTTATTGCTCTGATTCGTTTTCAGTGGAAAGGTACTACAATTTTTCCAAATATGGAATTAAAGAATTAAAACCTTCTAAAATTTTTTTTTTTTTTTTTTTTTTTTTTAGTTTTCAATTATTTGATGATAAAATAACTGCAACAATATGATGGAAAATTGTTCGATGATTGATGGTATTTAAGTATCTGATGATTGATCCCCATTTAGCACACTCTGATCTCATTTTAATTGCAATATATCAGATCTGGGAATTTCTTTTTTGGTTTGTATTTAATAACTTTGACATGTATTTTTAAAATGTGATTTTAACCCGTGAATTTATGAAACAATATGCTTATTAGACGTCATTGATTTTTTCAATCATTAAGGAGTCAGGTTTAGTAGTTTCGATAATATATCAATTCCATTTATTTTATTTATTGTGATTGTTCAGTGAAAGGTATAACAATTTTCAATATGGAATTAAGAATTAAAACTTTAAAATTGGAGAACCAAACTGAAATGATATCAAAATTTTTTTATTGTTTTTTGAAAATTAAAATTGAAACCGAAAGGAACAAATCAAATCAGGAACAACCCTAATTTTCAGTTTAAGATCAAATTGCTTTCATATAAAAACACTTGAGCAACATTTGAAGCTGCAGAACTGTTGTTCTTCATTCTTCCCAATTTCCAGTTATTCCTAAACTCCACCAACAGGTTAAAATTTGTTCATCAGAAATCTTTCTCTGATTTTGACTTGGAATTTTAAATCAAATCCCCTTACCTGTTGCTAATAATTTCTTCTCTCACATTCCCTTCTTAAACCACTAAATTCTTCCAATTCAATTCAATTCAATTAATGACTAATTGGCAATGTCAGCAACAACGGGCAAAATGTGTTCCTTTTACACTCACAGAATGCGTGGCAGTGCTTGGTACTCTATTTTTGGTTTCATGTTTTTAAAGGGAAAATTATGATTTTTTTAAGGTGGAGGTGGGTTTTCTGCTTTATTTTATTTTCTTTTTAGAATTTATCCATCAGGTATTTAGGCCAGCATTTGTTTATCTGTCCACAACCTCCCTGTTCCTGTAAATTACTTATTATTTTAATTTTTTTTTTTAAAAAAAAACCTTGGATTATTGATTAGTTTCAAAAAAAAAAGTTTTTTCTGGTTTATTTTGGTAATATTGATTTTTGACAGGTTTCTTTTGGTAATATTAAGTTTTGACAGATATTTTTTTCATAATATTTGCTATTTTTGGAAAGTTGCATCCTGTTACAGTCTGGAACTTAAAAATCATACGTTACAAAGACTTCTTCCTCATATCTGATTCTGAGACTAGTAAAGAGATTTAGGTTAAGGTAACTTGGCACAGAGCACCTATTCTTTTAAATTGATTTGATTCCTCTCCTATACATTCCTTCGTCTTTACAGGTAATTTTCCTAATTTTTTTCAATAATTCTTATCTTTTAATTTCATGTTTGTGACTTAGATTTGGAATCATTACAATATTATATCTATTGATTGGTTGATTTTCAGATTTTCCGAGAAAAATTGTAGTTTGGTTGCGCATATAATATGATTTTTTTTTTATGCATATAGAGACAGGGCGTCCCGAACGCATCAAGTGATGGCTGTTACTGTTCAGCTCATGTCTTTGATCATTGGGTCTTTAGGGACACTGTCCTTCATATTTGGGATAATCGCAGAGAATAAGAAGGTATTCTTGTAGCTGCTAATCTATTTATATTCAATTCAATTTCATAACTAATAATTTTCAATTTGATTGTTTTTTTCTGATATAGCCTGCAGCTGGAACTCCTATACCCGGAAAAGATGTTGTTATTTGCAAGTATCCATCTGATCCAACAGTGGCCTTGGGATATCTCTCTTTCGCATTTCTGGTCTTGTCTTCCCTGGCAGGGTTTTGGTCCCTATTTTATCCTTACAAAGGAAAATCTATTCCTCAGTCTGCTTTGTTTCGAAGTACCAGTTTCGTTGTATTCTTCAACATTGCCGTGTATGTATAATCTCTTTGGTCTGTGTTATTATTGCTTCTTCACTGTTGATTGAATTCAAATAAATGATAAGCTTTTAGGTTGAGTTAGGCTAGGATGACCCATTTTGTTCACAATAGCAAAATACTGTGATCAATGAAGATGATTTGTGAGGGCTTTCTTCTCTTTTGCAAGATTGTTTTTTCGTGCAAGATTGTTTTTTCATCTTTGAGTTCATAGTAAACTTGAATCATTGGATTCAATTACATTTGGTTGGTCCTTCTGTCCCTCTAGTCCCTAAATCCGTTGCATCTTACCCTGTTTATAAAATCAAGTGGATCTCTTCTTGCACTTTGTTTAGAACAAATGAAATTAGATTCAAGAAGATCAGAATGACATAAAATAAGGAATTCAATTCAATTTCATATTTTATATTTGTGATAAAACTTAAGTTGAGTTCCTTTTGTCCTTATTACATAACAAAATTAAAAGAAGATAGAGGGAGGAAAAAGAGAAATGGGACAGCAAAATGAGAGGTAAAGAGGAAAGAGGAGTCTTAAGGAGTAGGGGAAAGAGAGCGAGAAAAAGAGAGATTCTATGGGCATTTTTCTTTTCGCTAATTCATGTCAGTTCAATAAATGCAGGAATGAACATTATTTGTGTGGTTCTCATTGCAGGTTGAGTGCAGGACTAGCAGCTGCATTGCTGTTGTGGCCAACAATCACAGAGCAGCGACACTTGAATCGCAAAGTTCATCACAATCTGCAGACAGATTGCCCCACCGCTAAGACTGGTCTTCTGGGTGGTGGTGCTTTTGTTTCATTTGATTCAGCCCTCTTTTGGTTAGTTTCCCTTCTGCTCGCTGATAATGCAAGAGAGGACTACTTTGACGAGGTGGAGAAAGATTCAAGGGGCGAATATGGGCAAGCTCTTGCAGATGATTATGATTATGATGCTCCAGAAAATCTCAAGGGCACTGCATAAAACAGCACAATGGCCTTGGAGTTGTCTCTTCGGTTCCAGATGTTTTCATGTTTGATAAAATAATTATCAGTTTAGTTTAAGGAAGTATATAAAGATGGATTTCTTAGTGTACAAATTTATCTAAATATATAATTTATCTAAATAATTTTCTATTAATTTACATAAATATATTTTTTTCAATTTATATAAAGAGTTTTCTATTAATTTATATATATAATTTTTTAATTTTTGTTATAAATTATAATATTATGAACAATTTATAATTCTAAAAATTTAAAAGCATTCACAAAATATAAAAAGAACATTTTATGAAATAATAAAATAAAAATTTAATAATTAAAAAACTTGTTAAGAAAAAAAAGGGAGCATATCTATAATATAAATTTGATAACCAAATTTTTTATGAAAATAAAATTATTTATCAACCAGTTTAAATTTTTATATAATAATTTAAATTTAACTAAATTTTTTCATAAATAATATAACATAAATTGTCTATATTACTAAAAATGTGAAAAATCAATATTAGCTATTATAATAATTAACATGTTAATCATTATTTTAAAGTATGGTTTCTACTTTTGGTTTTTTTTTTTTTTTTTTTTAATTTTTAATATAAGATACATTTAAATTTAACTAAATTGCGGGGTTTTCAATAAAGTAAAATATAACCATAAATCTGTCTATATTTACTAAAATGTCGGACAAATCAACCTATTAGCTTATTATAAATAATTAACAATGTCTAACTGCAGTGGTAATGTTTAAACAGCTCATGGGGGGGTGTTGCGTACTGTGTGGGTGTTTTTTCTTTTTTTTTTTTATGCTAAAACTTTATGCAGCATATAATTAATTTTCATGGTTGAGACAAATTTCTCTTTGATGTGTTTAGTTTCGATTAAGTATAACCATGGTGTGCCCTAAGAGGTTCTGAACAGGCAACATTTTTTTTTTTTTTTTTTTTCTGCTAAAATTTATGAGCATATAATTAATTTTATGGTTGAGAAAAAATTTCTTTTGATGTGTTAGGTTTGATAATATAACATGTCTAGAGGTTCTGACAGGCAACATCCAAACGGGTGAATTAGATTATATGTTCTTTTTGAAAATTACAACAAAAGCAAATCTTTTAACATGAAATTCCAGATTTTAGAACATATGAAAATCATTTAAACAATCAAAGAATTCAACCCAGGGGAAGAGTATGGGCTGTTTGGCGGCAGATTTGGAGAAGAGACCAAGAAGCCCAATGCAAGATTTGAAATTTTTATTTTTCTCAAAAATCTTTTTAGATCACAAATAGGAATTTTAAAATTTGAAAATATGATTTGTGAAATAAAATTTCCCTCTAAGTTTTTTAAATAATATTTTAAATAAAGAAAACTTCTTTATACAATCTTGAAAAACTAAAAGAAAGATATTTATAGATATAACTTAAAATGACATAATCTTTAACATTGAATAATTAATCCTAACATAATCTTTAACTTAAAATGACATAATCTTTATATTACTAGAAATTAAAAGAACATTTATGAAATAACAAAAAAAAAAAAAAAAATTCAATGATTAATAATTTATTAAAAAAAGGGTTAAATATTTTTAAATCCTTAAATTATAGTAAAACTAACACTTAAGTCCTTCAATGTTTGAAAAATTATTTTGAAGGATTTAAATTATACTGCCGTCCAACTATAAGGTACTTAAATCCAAATACGAACCATTTAGCCGTTAATGTGTGTGAAAAATGAACTTTAAATGAGAGAGAAATTTAAAAAATGCTGAATTATACCCTTCTTGAATGTAAATATAAACGTGGCTTGTTCCTTTTTCGAACTCATTGTGATGAACGCAGTGCTATCAGATTCTCGATGACCATCCATTGCCTTAAATTTTCTAATACCATTCTTTGGATGGACACTCCAATAAAATGATAATAAGAAAAGTAAGCAAGCAACATATAAACCACTCTACTCTGCCACAATATCCTAAAAAATAATTACAATTACAGCAACTAGAAGAAACAATGGCCGTTTAAAACCTAATTAGCAAAAATAAAAGAAAAGATCGTGCTGCATTATGTTCCTCAAGAATCCATAGTTTGCAGCTAATTGACCTGGATAATTCAGAGGTTATAATTCAAATTTCTCGTTTCTTGAATCTTTTAGATATTTGAAACGTGCAGTACTGCAAAAATGAATTCTCAAAAAATTTCAAAAAAGAAAAAAAAAAAAAAAAAAAAAAACGTGCAGTTACTGCAAACAAATGACATTCTCAAAAAATTTCAAACAAAAGAAAAAAAAAAAAAAAAAAAAAATAAGGAAAGAAGAAAAAACAAGCCTAAGCGAGGTACATGCTCCGTTTGATCAAAAAAAAAAAAAAAAAAAAAAAAAAAAAGGAAAGAAAGAAAAAAACGAAGCTAAAGCGAGGTACATGTCCGTTGATTTTTGAGCTTCCTCCGCCGCAAAGAAGAAAGGATCCTTCTCCCATTGATCAAAACTCAAACCCCTTATTATATTGATGCTTTTTTTGCTGAGAAACATGATGGTTTCAAAAATTAAGCAAAAAGAAAAAAAAAAAGTTAAATAAAGGTTATTATAGTCTTTTTCACCCATATTTACTGTCAAATGGTTAGGTTTTTTATATAGGAGGATCTCATAGTTGGACGACACATAATTTAGGTCAATCATTTTCCAAAAGGAGGGACCTAAAATTAGTTTCACTATAATCTAAAGACCGAAAATATTTAACTCTTAAGAAAATAATATGTTTATAATAAAAAATTATTATAATTTGACAATTATTTTTATAAAAATAAAATTACTTATCAATCAATTTAATTTTATATAACAATTTAAATTTAATTTATTCGTATAGAATATAAATTATAAACTGTCTATATTATTAAAATGTGAGAAATCAAAGCTATTTTGACAATTAATATATTAATCATTGTTTAGAACATCATTTATAATTTTGATATTATTTTTTTTACTTTTTGCTAAAGTCTATGAGCATAAAATATTTATATGGTTGCTTTTTTTTAGAAAGAAAAATTCTTTCAAGTTGTTATATGATTTGTTTATATCAAACAATAAATTTTATAATATGTTTTTTTAATAAAGAATAATAAATTATATTTTTTCTTTATAGAATAAGTTACTTGTAAGAAATAATTATAACAAATTAAATTAAAATTTATTAAAATAATAATTAATATGTTATATTCTTACCATATTTAATATGTACCTTATATGATATAATATAACCAATCAAAATTGAATTACCTTTATTTTTTCAACCAACAAATTAAAATATGTAAAGATATTATATCCTTACCATATTTAATATTTACCATATTTAGTATATAATGTAATTTCTTATTTTATCTAATAGAATTAAGATTTAGATAGAAAATTACTATACCAATCTAAATTAAGTTACCTTTATTGTTTAACCAATAAAATTAAAATCATAAAAAATATTATATTCTTACCATATTTAATATATACCTTATATAGTACGTAATATAATTTTTTATTTTATCCAATATAATTTTAGATTTACATAGAAATATATGACCAATCAAAATTAAATTATCTTTTTTTTCAACCAATTGAATTAAAATCCTCAATTATATTTTGAAAAACGTAGTAGAAGCATTTTTAGCGATCTCAATATTCTCCCATCCGTTCCCACTTTTATATTAATATTATAGATAACCTGTGGAATTCATTTCTATTTTATTAATTTATAATAAATTTCTATGGTTAACATATTTAGAATATTAAATATATTATTTAGAATTATTAAATATATATATATATAATATATATTATATATATATATATATATATTATTATTATATATAGATACCAATAAATTTGGAATAAAAAAAGAAATGATGATTGATGTATAAATCGACATATAACTATATAGATTACAATTGGAATAAAAAGAAATGATGATTGATGTATAAATCGACATATTAACTTTATAAATAAAAATAAATCTAGTAGCACCCTCGCAACTTATGCATTGAACTTGCAAATTATATTTTTTAAATACTTTAACCTATAAAATTGCATCTATTAAACACTATAACTTTTAAATTTATAGTTATTAAATATTTATAAGATAGTTAAATGTGAAAGCTTTTATCTAGGTTTAATTTGAAATATATATAGTCTTCCAATCACTGAATACAATATCTAATAATTAAAAAAATATGAAAATTTTATTTAATTGATGCAATTTTATAAAAGAAAGTGTTAAATAAATATAATTTTATAAATTGAATGGTCTAATATGGCTCAACTTAAAATGTGGCCATCTCTTTTTGATTAATATTCTATTTTTCTTTTCTTTTTTTGAAGAATTTTTGAAATTTTCCTTTATCTTTCTATATTAAAAGTTCATTGATTTATTGTTGGACTTAGAGTAGAAATAATGCTTGAAGCATGAAACTGAGGAGGAGAAGAATAAAAAAAGCAAGGTGCATGTTTGAGTTGAGAGAATAAATAAATCTTGATGATAGATTTAAGTCTTTGAGTAATTTGAAGTTTTCACCTTAACTCTAATAATTGCCAACAGAAAAATACTTGCAAAGAAAGTTATAATTACAAATCAAATTTTAGATGAGTATAAATTAAAATAATTTTAATATAGAATGTACGAAACTTGCATAATTTTATAAGTTAAAATATTTATATAGCAAACATTTTAAATCAATATAAGTCTTAATTGGTAGTATATGATAACAATATTCAAATGGTATCAAACGACTCTTGGACTTTCAATTAGTAACATAATTTATTAATTATTTTAAAGTCATTTGCCTGCCTAATATATGGATTAGCATTCAATAAACCTATTTTGAGATTATGCAAATGATTGGTTGCAACATTCAAATACTCTTAACCAACATTTAACGGAAAAAAATAACTAATGAAAATGATTTGTAATGAATTTATCAAAAAAAAAAAAAAATAGTAATGCAATCAGTTGCACAGTAAACAATTAACGCAGATTAAAATATATACCACGGGAATGAAAAGTCTTGGTTAAAGTCCTCTCGATCACAAAAGTCAACGAGAGAAATACTCGTGCTATATACCACAGGATAAAGAAAATATAGACAA